AATTCTTCTCTTTATCCCTAACTGTTGTAATTCTGTTTTATGAAATTGTGTCTACTTATCAGGCAACTAAAATAAAAGTGGAAACATTCTGAGAAAAAGACATTGTCTTTTTGTATCACATGCCCTGGACTTATCTTGGTGTTTATGTGTAGTAAGTGCTCAAGAAATGCTTATAATGGATAATTGTGAAGATGTTATTTACAACCTTTTGTGTTTAAGATATTGGTACAAAAGTACAAAAGGCTAAATTTTTATGCTATTTTCAAGTAACAAATAATCTGAAACAATGTTTTGTATAAATCTATTTGTTTTTCTAAGTTTCTGATGTGTTTTCAGTGTCTTGATTTTGATAAGCTAGCCTCTAAATACAATATCAACTGGCTTCTGAAGAATTATTTTTGCCTCAGAAAACGATGAGATATTTTAAATGGATTGAGCTTCAATTGTGTAATAGAAGATGAAGGAAAATAGGATTTAACAATTTTATATCCAGGCACAGGACTTGAACATGACCAGTACAAACAAGGGAAGATCTTTTGCTCAGAAAATAATCTTTTTAATAGGCATTAAGTTACCCTTCAAACTAAATTTATCATCTCAGGAACATCATGGCATGAAAATCAATGTGAAAAGCCTTAAAGCCATATCTAAGGCCAAGCAATATAAAGGAATCTTTCTTCTTCTTCTCAAGAGCTACTTCCTGTTTTTCAGCTTTTAAATTTTAAAACGGCATAAAGTTTTACCTTTTTTGTGTGTATAAGCAAAAATATGTGCAAATATAGGTAGAGTACATTTGTGTAATATGTGTGTATGTCTTGTACTTCTAAGTGTACATGTGGAATTCATTTAAAATCAAAAAGTAAAATTCTGAAATTTTCTGGAAATTTAATTATATTTTGGAAAACATGATGAATGCGTGACCAGAAATATACTATTCAAAATACAATTTAATCGCAAGAAAGCAATACTGAGAAAGGTTTAAAGAAAAGAATTGTTTCTGTAAACCAAAGGATGTTTTCCTTTGTATTTCTACACTTCTAAATTCTGTTACTTTTAGATTTATATTAGACTCTGAAGTATCCAGTAGCCAATTTTCAGAATTTAGACCCTAGATTGGAAAGGGGGACACAGAGAAAAATTTAATAACCTTGATCATCTTCAAAGGAAAGAAAAAGAGTAAAAATTATACAGTAAAGAATTTTATAAACATTTAACTAGAAACCTGTGGAGACGGCAATTTTTGATGAAAGTCTGGACAATTAAGCAACTTAAATCTAAAACACAGTACACAGCAGAGAAAAAACCATTAAAATTAGGGTATAAGAAAGTTTTCAATATCCAATGTCATTTCTAATAAAACAGAAAGATTAAAGAACATTAACAATATGCTCTGCATATCAAGAACCTTAATTTATATCCATCCGAGGATGATTGGCTCATAATTTGCTAAGAGCATGTCAATTGTTTTATAATCTTATGCAAAAAGTACATTTAAGGATTATTGGGAACAAGTAAAAAGAGTTTGAACTATACAGAAAATGCCCTGTAGAATACTTAATATCTTTAAAAAAAATAACACATTTGTAAATTGTCAAGAATTCTACAAATTATAATTTATTACCCTTTTTTAAAAGAACTCCTCCCAAGATTGATGCTTTATATTATAATTTTAAATTGTGTCTAGGCAGGAAGATTTTACGAGATTTCTAAATAATCAACTTAAGCCTGAAAAAAATTAAAGAGTCTCTATATGATTACTTTTTCATCCTTGATTAAATTTTAGAATTTAAAAGTTCATTTTTTTCTTTAAAATAAATTATTCTCATAACATTCATCGTGTCATTATATACAGTATTTTTCCCCCTTTGGTCTGCATAATAATACAAAATTTCAGCAAATGTGGATCTTCAGGATATATTTTCTGCTAGGTCCAAGTCATGATATAAATCACCAATGAATATCACATACAAGCAATGCTAATATTTTGCAATATATCAAAATAAAATTAATTTATATAATCACAGAGGAGTCAAAATTTTTTCAATTAAAATATATATTTACTAGAAACAAATATTTGTTACAATATCATGTTTAAGAGATGAAAAAATAATAAAAGAGAGTAAGTTCAAAGTGAGAAAGTAGTCTAAATGTCATTATGTGTGTATATGTGCTCATTAATATTTTGGCACAGAGAGAAAAAAGAAACATATAATTCAACATCTTTACACTATTCTAAGGTCAGCCTTTCAAAAATAATTTGGTAGTACTTAAATACAGCTTTCCAAATTTGTGTTAGGTTCTGGCCACATTTCTCCATTTAGTTTTCTATTTATTTTATAAATCTTTACTGAGTTTATTCAGGACAGTCTAGGTAACATAGACTGGATAAGATTTTCTTCATTCAGACAAAAATTGCAATGTTTATTGCCTTAAGTGCGATAAAAAATGTTTTCAAGTATCATATTATTTAGTTTGGGATAAGTGTATTTACATAATAAAAACATAAAATAATTTGTCCATGAAGAGTGCATGGCCAAAGATGTTTCTATCATACAAAAAAAATGCCACTTGAAATTCGAGAACGTAGGTTTGACAAAATGAAGTAATGAAAATTTTATGCAAAAAAAAAATTGCTTGTAAAAAATATAAGCTTCCGATTGGTTTTGGATGAAATTTGTTATCTCTACAACTGCAAATTGTTTGTGTCAACAATCTAAACTAAGTGTGTTGGAAAATTAAATTGGGTTAAGAAAGAAATTTAATATGAATAAACAATGCACTAATTGTTAAGGTGTTGATATTTTTTAAAGTAATAGACTTTTATAAGACAATACATCTAAAAATTTCTTACCAAGCCTTGAATTTAATTATGTAGAAAAATAAGTATGTTTCTTGGGCATAAATGAGATTCCAGTATATATAAGACATTACACTAAAATTTAGTTTTTCTTGTACAGCAATTTCAGGTAATATGAAATTCATGTGTGTGTGTATGGCTGTATGTATATGTATGTGTGACTGTGTATGATTGTGTGTGTATGTACTAAATCTATTCCATCCTTCAGTTGCCAAATAGTAGATCGACTGAGTTTTCTCTCAAACATTTTGCCTAATGGTACAGATGTCACAGCAAATTCACACTATAAATACTTGTTAAATAAATATATTATTTTAAGTCTATAATAATATATTTCCTATGTATGATATGTATCTTTTAATAAATTCACAAACACACAAATTCATTGAATTCTAGAACTGGTTCTTTTATCTGTTTGTATTCATTTATCCTAAGCATGAATTCAGCAAAAATAGTATCTTCTTATAATCCCCATGTTCCTAAATATAATTAATGATTACTGGATTTATTAGAAAGGAAGACACCAACTCTTATCTCAGTTCAAAGTAAAGAAATGGTATTACAAACTAGTTCTGCAAACATATTATCTACCATTTTGGGGTAAAGAAAAAGACACATTATCACATGGTAGTATTTTTAGTAGTTACAATTCATGCAACTTGATTATCTTGCTGGATCAAATTCTGAGCAAAGTTTTTATGGCAAGACTGGTGAAATCAGCTTATCTTCCAGAAAGCAGGAACATAGATTGGACATTCTCCCCAGGTAACTTCAGAGAGAAGAGATCAGTGGGGTGCTAGATAGCCAGCCCCATGTCTGTGTCGGGTTTAATTGTCCACAACAGAACACAAACTGTCTCCCAGCTATACATTTTAAAATGTGTAACTGCTGTTCTAACACGAATAGGAAGCAATAATTACTATGTATATTCTTAAGAAAACTTCAAACACTCTTACATGAACAATAATTAGAAGAAATGGAATTTTCACATACATAATGAAATGATGTTCAAAAGAATTATCGATATTTTATGAAATTAAACATTACCCCTATAATTTAAGAATATAGTCATATCTTTTCAGAATACCATATAGGGTATATTGAAAAACGTTTAATTCTGTACATTTATGAATTGAATAAGTGCTGAAGAGTCAACAATAAAAGAGTAGAACAGTAACAAAATCAATACTATTGATTTCCTGGTCTTTTTTTTGTGTGTGTGGACCTTACGTGCATTTTCATATTTTTGTCAAGAATAAATATTTCCATGAAGACTTTCATTAAGTATTCTACAATGGTCTAATACGAAAATAAATTTTCGAGTGGACAGTTCTCATTACTAAATATTCCTTCTAACAATGGTCTGATTTTTTTTTTAAATGAAAATGTTTTTTGCAGGAATAAAGCATATTCGTGTTTCATTTATTTTATTTCAGAAAGGTTGGTTATGCTCAGCTCAATGTCAGAAAACACCTACAAATGCTTTTAGTGAAAATCCTCCCTCTTTTATTTTTGTCTAAAATGAAGTTTATAGATATGTAATATATATTCATGTATCCATTGATATTGCATTCAATAAAATACACTTTGAATCAATATATTCCACGAACGACATATTCAGGTTGAAATCACTTAGAAGCTGAAAATAAAAGCAGTCAGTGAAAAGATTTGGTCATTTTCCAAGCAGTTTGTTTGTCCAAATGTCTACTTTGTATCCGTTACCCTGTTAAGTTAGAATGTTGGCTAACTGGAATTATCAGACCTATTCCTCAAAAATCTACTAGGCAAAGACATAACCCCACCCAAACACTAAACTTGAAGCAGGCAATGAAATATAATTCCAGATTAAAAAAATAAAACTATATCAGAAAAAGATATATGACTGTATTAATAACAGAATAAACAATAACATGTTAATACTACTCTTGTGAAGAAAACATACCTAAAAAAAGAAATTATGTGCTTAAATATTAGCAATGACATGTACAAGACAAGGCTTAGAAAATGCATCATATATTGAGGTTGTCTACTGATATATTGCTTGTCTGATTTGTTTTGGGATGTGCTTAACAGCCAAATGGTCAGATCAAGGTGAGCAAGAGATCAGCTGCAAAAGTTCAGAATCACAGCTTTCCTCTCTTACCTTCCACTGAGGAGGAAGCCGATAACCACTGCCAACAAAATGACTCCCACTGTCACAGACACGGCAATTATAGGAATCTGGCTTTGATCACTGGATGCTGCAACTGCTGATAGAAAACACAGAAAATAGAGCTTGTGGTTAAAGTGATCATATGCATTCAAAATAAAAGCCGCTTAATAGGCGGTAATCAATTTATGGTTTAAGCAATTCACCCACACTTGGCTGAGACTTCCTTCTAATATCTCCTCTCAAAAGTGTGTAATTGAAAAGCCATCTTTAGTAGAAAACATTTACTTTCCAAATAGAAATTTGAAAGCATCACTAAGTCACTGATTATTTCCTTGTCATTATAAAAAATGAATGCATACTGTTTCCATAGTTTTCTTCTAGCGACCTTAGGTGTACAAGTGAAAATGGAGCTTCTTTCTTGACTTCAAACACTTCAATCTAAATAAGAGGTGTGAGGTATATAAGATTTGACATTTTTATAGTTTGCATGATGCTGTTCTCTATTAAAAAATGTGACTAACTCCAAAAGGATTTTTTTCCCATAGACATACATCACTTTATTTTAAATACATAGATTTAGATAAAATAGTTTTTTGGGTTGTTTTTTTTTTTTTTTGAATTGGAGTCTCACTCTGTCGCCCAGACTGGAGTGCAGTGACCACTCCTGGCCACCGCAGCCTCGACCCGGTGGGCTCCGGCGATCCTTCCGCCTCAGCCTTCCGAACAGCTGGAACTACAGGCACGTACTACCACATCCGGCTAATTTTTTGATTCATTGTAGACATGAGGTCTCGCCAATTTGCCCAGGCGGGTCTCGAACCCGCGGGCTCAGGCAATCCACTCACCCCAGCCTCCCAAGGCACAGGATTACAAGCTGAGTCACTGAGCCTGGCTGACTAATCTTAATTAAAATAAAAAACTCAAAGAGTAACATAAACTTTAATAATGTTTTCAAGAATCCCTCAGTAAAATGCCTACTGTGCTTCTTGTTTGATGACATAATCAATTTGATAATTTCAAGGCAACACTAGTTAACCTCCATGACATCAAATGATAAGTCATTAAAACTAATAGCAACCATACTTTCCACATTTTGTTTTTAACAACGCTTTACCAGATTTTGGCTTACCAATAATTCTGGATCAGGAAACAGTTCCCTTTTTATTCAAGTCACTTTATCCTTTCTAACCGAAATTGGCTGAATCTTTGTCCACCCTTTTACACTGATCTACGTTTTCAAACATTTCTGACCAGTATTCAGATCCCAGTATTATTAACAACTGTCTTGAGTAACACATTATAAATCAATGCTCTGACCTACTCCCTTTTTTCAATTCAATGGCGTTTACAGTGTATTTTCTCCTATTCTTTGATGCTGAGATCTGTCATCAGAAATTTATACTGGAATACGGTATAAATGGGGCAGGGAAAAACTACCCCATGAATGACTAGTAGCTTTTCACCAATATGTGCTTCTTTAATCTCTAAATTCATATTACTTCTACCATCACCTTTTTTTTTCTCTTTCTCTCTTTTTGGCAGTGAGCACATTGTTTCTGGAGAAAAAAACCATGCAGACTTAGCTTATATGTTATTTTCAGTAGGCTGCAACTACTGCTTGAATGGCTTTTATTTTTTATTATTAATTTCCTAGCAAAATAATCTCTGTAATGAGTCTTCCTCATTTTCTCAGTATACTAATCCATTTCTGCTTCCAACATTGTAGAAATGCTAAACTTTATTAATAAAAAACAGTAATCAATTATGAACTCCATGGTTAAATATAACTCCATAACCTTCTTTCTATTTATCTAATTCCATTTTTAGAGCTAGTCCCTTCTGTCTCTTCCAAGACCTAGCTCCTTCAAAGATCTCTATCTGGGCGGGATTTCTGTTTCCTTATATGCCACTTCTCTGCTACTAAGAAGTCTGAGGGAGAAATACATTTTTAAACTTAAACTTACTAGTATCCAATCTGGATTTGAAAACAGATATAACTTTTATCATATGTTTGAGTCAAAAAAATTATTTAATATCTAAATAGGAATAATTTCCCTAGATCATTATATTTCTGTTCAGATTTGAGAATATATGCATTGTGTGTGTGTGTGTGTGTGTGTGTGTGTGTGTGTGTGTGTGTGTGTGTGTGTACACAGAGAGAGAGAGAGAGAGAAGAGAACACACTCAGCAGTGTGTTTCAAATACAGGCAGCCTTAAGTAAATAGGAAATAAAATTTCTACTTATTCTTTCATATTTGTCAGCATCTTGACAGAACTATCTAGAACCAACTTCATCTGCTTTTTTTGTTAATTTTTTTATTTTAAAAATGTGGGGTACAATTCAGGGTTCGGTATACAAACATTCATTATGCAGATACCCTTGTTGATAAAGTGTGCCCCTCCCTCCCCTGGTAGTTTCCCTCAACTGACAATCCCACCCCCCTCCCCTAGCAGTTTCCCACTACTGCCAATCCCTTTCTTATAGTATTATGAGAACTGTTCAAGGTCAACTTATAAGTGAGAATATATGTTTTTTGTTTCTGTGATAGATCACTGAATATGATTGACTGTAAATTCATCCAAGTTGCTGTGAAGTCCATGTGTTTGCCCTTCTTTATGGCTGCATAGTATTCCATTGTGTATATGTACCACATTTTTTTATTCAGTTCAGCTTCAATGGGCGGCATGGTTGGTTCCATGTTTTTGCTATTGTGAACAAAGGTGTAACAAACATGAGTGGTGGGAATGCAAACTAGTACAGCCTCTTTGGAAGACAGTGTGGCGATTTCTGAAAGAACTACAAATTGACCTTCCATATAATCCAGCAATCCCTTTACTGGGAATATACCCAGAGGAACACAAATTATTCTACCAACTTAATCTTCTAAGAGTCAACATTATTATTGAATTCTCTCTGACACTTTTTTTCTTCTGTCTGTGAATTCTATGCAAGGTATGATATTTACTACATGCACTAATTACTTCTCCACTAAACTTACCCTGCACCATAGTAAGGACTTTGAACTTGTTGAGTATGTACCTTAAACTTGAACTCCCCTTCTCTTGTTTTCTGTGATACAAGACAAGCTGTTTGTCATTGTCCCTTTCTGAAGCACTGCTTTGTCAGTTCTGTTGGTTCCACATTCTCTTCCCACATTTTGTGTGTGAGTGATTCTTGACATAGTCTCACTCCTGATCCTCCTCACTTCTCTCCTCCTTTTCTCTCCTCTTCTTTCTTTCAAGTTCCCTCTCTTTCTTTCTTTCTCCCTCTGCTAGGTACTTCTGTGTTCATTGTATCAGGTAGCAACTGTCAGCTGAAGGGTCACAAATGTTTATGTCCAACTCTTATTTCTCTCCAAAGCATCACTCTATTTTTTTTATTACAGACTGTTTTCACTTTATGTGGATTTTATTGTCACATAAAAATAAACATGTTTAAACTTGACCCTTATTCCACACCCCCTATCACACACAAGGTTATTAACAAAAACACATCAACAAATAAACATAAGTCAAACCAACAAGCTAAATTCATTTGATCTATTTCTGGTTCAACTACCACTGAATTTTTCCTAACCTCTACCAATTCATTAATTACCAAATATTTTTGTGTCTCTTTTATGTTTTTTCCCCATGCATCACTTCTTTCCATCCAACACTCACCTGTTTGATTCAAAACTGTATAATCAAAGTGCTGGAATATAGTTTATAGTGTTTTAAGTGTTTCCTCTTCCTTCTATGTACTAATAATAAATATCCAAAAGTATCACTTTGGTCTTGTGTTTATGATTAAAAAAAAGTTAAGAAATTCCTATTACCTTTGGAAGAAAATCCCCAAAGCTCAGTCTAGCATTTGAAAGCCCTTCTAATCTGACTCTAATAAATCTTTCTACTCTCAATGTGTCAGTTTGGGAGCTCTCAGATATATGGGTATAGAGGAAGAAGGAATAGTTAATCAGAGGTAGAAGTAAAGTTAGACCAACTTCAGACAGGCCAAAGTACTAAATCTGAGAAAAAAACAAGGGATTTTGGTAGTGTCAAATTCTTCACTTTTAATGATTTTCAAGATCTAATTTAATAATATGCTAAAATTAAATACTTATGTATGGTTCAATATCTTGTATTAAAATAATTTCTAATGGTATTTAAAATTTTTAAATACTATAAATTTATGCATTTTATGAAAATATTTTATAAGTAATGTCAAATCACAAACATTCATATTCTATGATTTTGTCTAGTGTCCACTGAAATTAGATTTTTTGTATAATAGGCAGTTAAATAAAGGAGTTGCAAGAAAAGATTTAAATAACACATTTTATTTAGTATTATTATGTTCTAAATTTGCAACATTTTCTAAAGTTCTTGATGTGGTTTAATTCTTGACTATTTCACATGCCCTGATTAATTTGTGAACTATTTCTAATACAAAGTAATTTATCAATTTTTATATTGTCTACCCTTTTGTTTACCCTAAGAGCATACATAGTATCATTAATTATATTAATTCAGATGAAAATGAAGAATTTAGAGGATACTGTCCCTATCTCATACTAGTTCGTTTTTTCAGCACTAGGTAAAAAACAATTAGGTTCGGTATGAGGCATGATTATAATTTTAACATATCATACATTTGTAGTCTTTAAAAACGTGAACATCCAGTCACTAATTTTCCCTATTTTCTCGTGTTTATTTATTAAAAGTTAGTTGATTGGTAAGGTAGTTTTGGAAAAAATACAGCTGAGAAATGTTTTGGGAATACTTAATAGCAAATATTGAAGCAATGCAACATACAGTAATGAAAGGGCATCAACTATAAAATTTAATATCCTTAAGTCAGTAAGAATGTTTTGTTTTGTTTTTTAAATCAATAGATATATACATCATCCCTGGGAACTGTAAGGTAGCATATGTTGAGAAATCACATTCTTTACCTCATCCTGCTTCCTACACTTTTGGCTGCAAACCTGTATAGATATTCTCTTGACTTTATTGCGTTAGCTACATATTTGAACAGTTAATCATCAATGCTGAAAAGAATTATGAGAGCCGATTATTAGCTTGAAAGTCAGGCTGAGATTTGAGATCTTTCTTTCA